TTGGCCTGGAATTCCTCTGGCGGAGGGGATTGTTGGTTTGGTGGCCTGGGATCCTTCAGGGCCTTCCTGAGTCCCGGGTCGGTGGGGGAACGCTTTAACTGATAACTAGATCTCCCCTCTCCAGCCCCGCGAAGATCCTGAGAGGGTCCCATTTCCTGCTCTGGTAACTCGGAGAAAACTACTCTTTCATTTCTAAAGCACATGAAATCTTATCGTTTGGAGGTGGTAGCAGTAGGGTATTGGTCAAGCAGCGATTGAGAGTCCCCTCGATTTTCCACGAAAAAGTGGAAGATGAGAAAGGGGGAAGAAAGGAGAGGCTGAGATCTAAAGGGCTAGACTCCCCAGGCCGAGCGGAGTTCACTGCGCAGTGAACCCGCTCGGCCGGCCACGCAGCCCGCGCTCCCCGCCCCGCGCCCTATTGTCCTCCCAAGCCCGGGGTCGTGACCCAGCTGAAGGCGACACCGCGTCCAGGGCTGACGCGGCGTGGAACCCGGAGGAGGAGCCGGGCTGCCGCCAGCCCCTGAAACCTCGCCTTTGCCCGGCCTGGCCCCATTTCGCGATTCTCAAGACCCCCGGCCTCTGCGAGAAGGGGAACCGGGACACCCCCACCCCATGAAGATAGTCACATTTTGTCCCATTCTCCCGGAGCCAGGCCTCCCGGGAAGCCAGAGCCCCGAGTAGAACCTAGGATTTGGCTGTCTAGCAGTGCCTCCTGCACACTCGGTTCCCGGCTTTTTTCTGCCTAGAAATTAAAATACTGTATACTTTTCTCTTCCGATCTTTGATGCTGGGAAGAGAGGGAATCAGAAAGGAGTGAGCAGACGCGACACTTTTTTGGTGTCACTCATACCACATGAAGGCTGGCGGGGCTGACCCTAGAGGATGCTGCCTATTCAGGAACCTGAAAATTTGTGGATGCAGACTAAAAATTTAAAACAGTCCCTTCATCTTTATTAGGCTCTGTAACCCTATTCACCCTCAAACATACTCTGCGATATTCCCTACCCAGCCTTGTCTTCCCTTACTCCTGATTTATCCACTGAGGCCTGGCAGACACAGAAAGGCAAGAAGACGGGGCTGCAGAAGCCCTTATCCCTGCCTGCCTGGACGTGGGTTCTGCTGGACTGGCCCTGGGTTCAAAGAGCTACAGAGGTGGCACCAGAGAGAAGAGAAGCAAAGCACCACGGAGTGGAGGGAGAGCCCGGGGCTCCTGGCCTTGGAGGGCTGATGAGCAAACCTCCTGATCCGCTTTAGTTTCTGCCTGCTCCTCAAGTTCAGAAGGGGTCTGAGCTCCTTGAGCTGCGAAGGTTTTAAAATGTCCAAGGGCTCCTCTCAGGCTTCTGGCTCAGAGTTCACCCCCCTCCCCATTTTTAATTCTCATGAGGCAGCTAAAACTCCAAAACCTGGAGCAGCCACATGCTGCAGGAGAAAAATCAAAATGCAGAAAAAGCAGGCTGAGAGGGGATGTCAGCTCTATCAAAAAGATTGGTAAGAGGCAAAGACTTTTTTTTCCCCACCAAATCCCCCAAATGTTTATTTTGGGCTCCTGCCCATCCAGATAAATCAAGCTAACAGATTAGGAAGTTCATAAAATTGTATTCTTAGGTAATGACATCCAGAGAGGTAATAAATATTCCCTGTGCTCTGGTGGCCACTGGAGTTCTGGTGTTCAGGATCTTCCATCTCTTGTTCCAAGCCTGAGAGGGGTCTCTCGGAAGGGGAACATTTAAATTAAAATTAGCTCTCCATAGGTGCGGTGCCAGATAGAAGCTGTGGAAAACCCGGAGCGCTGCTTTTGTGAGTGCACTAGTAGGCTCCCCTAGGATGGGCAAAAGGCAGAGAAAAAGATGGTACGGTTGCCCAGTGCACTGCTCCTCTCCGCCATAGCACCCTTGATCTTAAGGGCCCCTTTCAGAATTAGTCTCCCTAATCCTAGAAAAGCACAGAAGGGCACCCTGGCTCCAAGCTCCCAGCAAACCTTCTAATTGTTTTAATTTCCGTACCACTCCCCCCAACACACACACACACACACACACACACACACACACACACACACACTCTCACACTCCTAGCTGTGGAAAGCTGTCCCTGGATTTCAGTCTGCCAAGTCCACGCAGAAAGAAAACTGAAGCACAGATTGCAGAGAAAACTTTGTAGGAAACTTCGCACAAACAGCTGCAAGAGACCCTCGGAAAAGCGAAGGGTCCTAGTCCTTTGCCCTCAGTCCCACTTTTTCAGACTCTTTCTCTGTTTTTTGAGCCAAATTTCTTTACTTCCCAGGTACACGGATCCGGCACAGAAATGTCTTTTTCCCCAAGCAGAACCCCTCTGCTCACAACTGGATTTCCCGCCTTCCCTCCCTAAGACCGGGAGTTGAGACAAAAATTGAGTGGCGAATAGAGATAGAGTTTAATAATTTTGTGCTCCTCACCCCCAGAGCAGATCGAGTGCTAACTACTTACATGTCAAAGGGATTTTTGGCCTGTGGGGAATCTCCTGGCGGTTGGAGAGAAGGAACCCTGTAAGATTGGTGTCGCCGTTTCACCCGTCTTCTTTTTACTTAGCCATTGAAGAGAGAGGGATACAATGCGCTAACAGGCATTCATGCGCCTTGCCTCTCCCATTACTCTGGGCAAGAAATCTCCAGTCCCACAAAAGCAGTGGCATCCTATCTGGAGACCAGGGCCGAGCATGGGCTGGCTTGGGAGGGTCAGAGATGGGGGTGGGGGAGAGGGCAGAGGCGCTGCCGAATAGAAAGGCAATGGGAGAGAAAATGCTGTGTCCTTCCCGTGAACCTGGGCTGTGTCCTCCCCCCAGCCTTTCCCCACTGCTTAACCCAACTTAAATAAAAGCCCGGCCCTCAGCTTCCCAATGAGGCTGTTGCAGCATCAGGCAGAGAGAGCAGCAGGGACCAAGACTGCTGGAGCTTGGGACCCTCTGCCCAGAGTGGCCCCCCCCCCACACCTCAACCCTGCCCTGCCATTCTGGGTGACCAGGTCCAAGGCAAAGGAGAGCTTTGGGGAAAGGGGAGAAAATGGAACCCACTGGAGGGAAGGCCAGAGGCCACAATCGTCAAACTCCAACGTAAGGGATTTCAGTTTGGCTTCATTTGTCAAGAACTATGGATTTCGGATGTTTCCCCTGTTCAGACCAGGAAGGAAGAAGGAGACACACAGAGAATGACTACGTATATGAGGGAAGAGGAAGGAGAAGAAACAGGAGACTAAAGAAGGGGAAATAAAATAAGTGTTCCAGCCCTTTTCTTGCCGCTTTTCCTGAACTAAAGAGTGTCCCTTCAGCAATTTCAGGGAGAAACTTAAGAAATAAAAGGTAGCAATTTTCCGCTTCCTCACTCTCATCTCTTCCATTTCTCGGAGGAGAGGGATAAACTCCCTGAAAGCCACACGAGCCAACTTGGGAAAGAACCCCCCTTCCCTGCTTTCCACCTTAGCTTCTTTACAGGCTTGAAAAGACACCCTGGTGCCCTTAGACCTTCCTTCCCTTTTCCCAAGCACAGCTAGAACCCCCTTTTCCTGTTCCAAGGGCAATTGCCTCAAGACAATAGGGGCTGCAGTCAGATGTGGCCCCTAATTCACTTGATGACATAAAATAACTCGTGATAATTGTTGGCCTGCTTCCTAACACTGTAGCAGCCTGTTTCGTTGTCTCCAGGGTACCATTAAGGGAGGAAAAGTAGACCAAAAGGGCTAAGAGATTCCCCCAATACACACACACACGTGGGGACACACACACACACAAACAGACACACACAAACACACACACACTCCAAGTGGTTCAAAAGGAAATAAATTTAAAGCACACCAAAGTGATTCTCACAACTTAGTCCTGCTGTTGTCTTTCACTCCAGAGTCTGGGGATCGAGGGAAGGGGTATCCCTGGCTTCCCTGCATACCCTGGACCTCTTTCTCCCTCTCTTCTACTTCTAATTGCCTTTATTCCTGAAATATGGATAAATTGCCAGAGAAGAAGCTCACCAACAGCCCTCCTCCCACCTCTTAACAAACAAGTGAAAAATTAAGCAGGCCTTGCTAGGGCCTGATTCTCAGGACCACAATTATTGGGGAGCCTTTGGCTTGAATGTATGATTCAGGTAATCCAGGCAAGATATTTTGTTTCTTTTTTAGCCCCCAAGGAAACAATTTAGTTTAATTAATTTCTTTCTTTACAGCCGGAGAGGCTTGTTCAGGCTATCCCCAGGCCCTGCCAGGACCTGGGAGGTTATAGGAAGAGAGCCTGGTCCTGGATTCTCCCTGAGTCTCTTCTCAACACCTGGCAGGTCCATGATAAAAGTTAGAGAACAAAAAGGTAAAGGTCTTCTATTATCTCCAGGCATCAGCCTGTGAGGCCTACCCATAACAAGGGCACCTCCCAGGCCTCTGGCCTCCACCTTACCCTTTTTTCCAAGCCTAAACAAACAGAGAAGGCATCCTGACAGGTCACTTGGATGGTTCAGAATCACCAGCTCAAAATCTTTCTTCTTTTAAGAACTCAAATGTTGAGGGGATGTCTTCCTTAATCCCTCATCCCCAGAGAGCCCTAAAAGATGAGAGAAAACTCTTCCCCTTCCCACTCCCTAAACTTGCCCTCTTGTCTACAAATTAGGCAGGCCTACCCAGCACAGAGGAGGGAGCAGGGAAGAGAGAGGACAGGCAAGAAGAAGAAACTGTACCTAACTATAGAAAAGTGAGACATCCCCCCAACCCTCAGCTCTACTGAAGTACCCCCAGAGGAGTCTGGACTCTGCAGACTCAGGGGGAAGAAAGGGAACTGGAGAAATCAGCCTTAAATCCTCCACATGCCCTCTTTTGAAGCTCCCATACCCCAACCCCCTTGCTGGTTCTTCCAAGGACATTGGAAGACTGATGGAGAGCTGAGATTTGTGTGTTTGTTGAAAGTAAACTTAGGCAACTATAGAGAAGATGGGATGTTACCAGGCCAGAGAGAGGAGGGGGATAAAAAGAAACCATCAGACATTGACGTAAAACTAATTCACATCCACTGGTTTATTATTGATCACGGGGCATTTCACATCGACACTAAAATTCTTTATTGCGAGTTTTACAATAATCAAGTAAATTCAGTCCAAAAACACAATAACCACGATGGGGGTGGGGAGAGATGCTACCTATAGACTGCCTCTCTGAACTGAAAAGTTGATTTTGATTTTTCTTTTGGCTCCTCAAACTGAACAGCTCTGAGAGGCTCTCCAGATGCATTTAGCTTTGTCTGCTGTCTTCACCCCCTCTCCTCCCCCCCCCCACAATAATACAAAAGAACTTCATAGCTTTGTTCTCCTTAAAATGACTTCCCCCTCACTAACCTCCCCTGGTGCATTTTCAATGCAAAAGGCCTAAGGAAAGAGAGGGGAAGGAGGAGGAGGAGAAGGAGGAGAATTGGCTTTAAAATCTCTTTCCTTTTTTCTTTTCCTCATTTCCCCTGAAATTCACCCGAACCAGACCATCACACCTTGCAATATATAATTTTTGCAGCTTTTTTTTTTCTTAAAAAATAAATAACCCCCCCAAATGGCCTTAAAAAAAAAAAAAACCACCCAGCAGGTACCATGCTAAGACAACATCACATGCTTAAAAGGGTCCTTAACAGTGGAAGGGAGAGGAGGGCAGGGGGCTTGTTTGTTTATCTGTTTTGTCTGTTTGGAACTGACAAGGGACAAGGTGAGAGGAAGAGAGAAAAGAACCAATATATATGTATATATATATATTAAATTCTATAAATAAGAGTCAATTTGTGTGTGAGGGGAGGGTGCGGGCACGGGGTGGGGGCAGGGGTGTGAGTTATGTTTTATAACCTGGTAATGTCCTCTGCCCGTTGCTGCTCCGGCGGCGTGGCGCTCTGGGAGTGGTCTTCAGAAGTGCCCGGGGTGGCTGCTGAGAGGGTGCTGGGCGCAGCGCCGGCCGGGGGCGCTGACCTGACTTTGGTGTTGGGGAGTCGGTGGTCCTTCTTCCATTTCATGCGACGGTTTTGGAACCAGATTTTGATCTGCCTCTCAGAGAGGCACAGCGAGTGGGCGATCTCGATCCTTCTCCTTCGGGTCAGGTAGCGGTTGTAATGAAACTCTTTCTCTAATTCCAGGACTTGCTGCCGAGTGTAGGCTGTCCTCGAGCGCTTGGGTTCCCCTCCGTTATAATTGGGGTTCACTGGGGGGGGAGGGGAAGGGGAAAAGCAAATAGTGGGGTTCAGAGGCAGCAGGCTCCCCGCCCCCCACCCTCACCCCATCCTCAGCTCTGAGGAACAGGAGGAGGGAGTGGTGGAAATAAAGTCATCAAGCTTAAATGGGTTATAAAGAAGTTGAAGGAAGCTGAAGACTTTGTAGTGTAATAAGAGGGGAATCCTCATTGTAACGACACTGAATTATTTATGCGCCCTTAGAAAGCGAGCATAGTTTTCACACATACATAACAGATCGTAGCACATGGCTCGGACTGCCCAGAGTAGCTAAGCCATAAAATTTATGGGGGATGTAATTACCCATTCTCGCTCGTAAATCCAGTTCAATTGTGCTAACCCAGAGTCGCTCCTGGAGAGAGAGGGGGAAGGAGAGAAAGGAGGACGGGGCCAGAGGGGGCCGAGGAGGGTGGGGAGCGCTGGGGAAGAAGGGAGGGAGGGGGAAGCAAAAAGCAAAGTTGCCTACCCGTGCTAACGTGAATTTTTTTCATCCATGGGTAGACTATGGGTTGCTTGCTGGCGGCGCTGGAGGGATGGTCGGGGGCTGGCTGGCTGCAGGCTGGCGGGGCTGGGGACGGGGAGGCGGAGGCGCCTGAGAGAGGCGCCGGCTCGCAGAGCGACTGTGATTTCTCGGGGTGGTGGTGGCCCGCCTGGGCCGGCCCGTGGCCTCGCGAATTGCCCGGCCCCTGGAGACTGGTGCAGCTATACTGGCGCTCAGGGTAGCTAGGGCGCGGAGGCGGTGGTGGGTACAGCTCCTGGTGGTGATGCTGGAATCCCGATTCCCTGGTCCGGCCGTAATATTCCGGACTGTGCTCAGGGATGTAGCTATTTTGCGAATATTCTTCGCATGGAGGAAATTTCGGATCGATGTAGTTAGAGTCCATCAAATACGAGCTCATGATCATTAATTTCTGGAGTGGAAAATAATTTTTCTCGCTTTGTCGTTTTTCTGCTCCATAAAGCCCTCCTACTAGCTAGCGACCCTGTAAAGTTACTTTCACCATGTGACTCCGCCGGCCAATCACACGGAGCAACCCAGTCCCCGGATAAGGAACCGAATCGCTTTATTCAAAATGTATCCAATTTTTTTGTGTGTGTGTAGTGGTGGTGGTGCTGGGGGGTGGGTGGTGATGTGGGGTTAGCTGGCAGGGGCTGGGGTGCCCCCAGTGCACATCCCGTCAGATTGACAGCCCTCCCCTGCAAAAGGAGATGGAAAGCTCCCGGCTCCCCTCCAAAGCCGGGGCATTGGGGGGCTGTCGGGAGGCAGCGATTCAGCCCTCGCCCAGGGTCTCCCCTCAGGCCTCTGCTGGGCCCGGTGGGCCTCGGCTCCTGAGCTTTTCCAGAGGTCTCCATTCATGGCGATCGTGTCTCAGTCTGTGTAGGTCACCGGGCAGCGCCCCTCTTTCGCAGGAAGAGGAAGTTGAATGAGGACTGGAGTGGAGGTTGGATGGGGAGGGGCCCAGGCTGAGCCGAGGAGGCTGGAGAGCCTAGAGTGCCCCCCATCCAAGGATACCAGAGTCCAGCCCCCCTTCCCCATACACACTCACCCAACCCTCTGGCCATGGGGCCGGCGAGGCAGGGTCCCAGCTGGACCAGGCAGGTAGAGGCAGCGGGATGCAAATGATTCTGACGTCATTTCTGGAGGTCTGGGGGTTGAGCCCCCGCTGAAGAGAGACAGGAAGTGGTTGGCAAAAGCAGAGTTCAGAAGTCTCACCCTCCCCTGCTACCCACTGACCCTCCCTGCCCCAGCCCCAGAGCAGAGGGTCTCTTCTACTGAGGGTTCCTGTTTCCACTCCCCATTCAGCCGGGCCTGCTGTTTTCTGACAATTATCTCCAAGGCTGGCTCCCAAGGAGCTGGGGCAAGGAGAGCTTTCTGCCGGGAATCAGTGCCCTGTGATGGTGCCCAGCCACGGCCCTGAGAATTTTTTCTCTATCCCCACAGAGGGCAGACCTGGCTAAGAGGGAGGCCTGTGTGAGTAGAGCCTGCTTACTTCTGGCTAGGAGCTGTATCCATGTAACACGTGTGTTTACATGTAAACACGAATTCCTAAGGGCGAGCTCCAGGCTGCTTTCCAAAAACGGAAGGCTAAACTCACCAAGCTGGGGAAGCAGGGCCAGCCTTGGGGGTCTCCAGCCGGTTCACACCCCCTCCCCTCTCTCTGCCACCCACTTACAGTAATACTCTGATGGAGGGGGGTGGCAGGGCCATAGAGGAGGGAGGGGGCCAGGAAGAGCTGTTTTCCTACCCCCCCCCACCACCAGCTAGGGGTGGCCCTGTCATGCCACCGATTCCAATTAACTGATCGCCCATAACTCAGAGTTGGGGGGGTAGCGGAGGGGAGAGCCCAGGGAGGGAACCGGGTCCCCTTGTTGTACTTGATAACAATTATAGTTTAAAATCATAGCTTGCCGGGGCTCGGCTATATTTTACTTGATAACAATAAAAGTGACACATAAAGTTAACTGTTTATGTTTTATTTATTAGACTAAATCTGCCAGCGGTGGTAGGAGCGCTTGCCTCGTCGCTACAGCTTTTATAGGGCTGTAAAACGTCATAAATCAGTCTCGCGGAATCGCCCGCACTCTTTGTGTCGGCGGCGGCGCGGGGCTGGCGGCCGCTGGCTGCCTGCTCCCTCCTTTCCACGAAAAGTCGTAATGTGATTTTTTTTCCCTCTGATTTTATTATTATGATCGTCGCCGTGATTAGTCAATCTACCTTTAATTCGCCGCCCTACGCTGCCTCCTCCCAGCCCAGCCTGGTTGACACTTGAATAAGTACCTTTTAAAAAGGCATAACAACTATTTGAGGGTTTAATTAGAACATCTGCAATTAAGGGAATGAGGAGGGGAAAGGGAAAAAAATAATAAAGCTCTTGTGAGAGGGAGACCGAAGACAAGAGATTCCCATCCTTTTCTCATCACCTTTGGGATGTTGGAGAGGGTCCCCACTTCCAAATTAGGGCTTCCCCAGAGGGCTGGAATGAGAGGGAAGCTGGACCACAGGCCATGCCCAAAGGATGCGGATTCCCTCCTGGGCCCTGGCTGCCTTCCCTCTTCCAATGCTTACACCCCCACTCCCATCCCAGGCTCTGCAGGGCCAGGGCTTAGCTCCGGAGGAGCTGCTGCACAGGGGTCCCTGAGTACTCTCTCCAAGAGGACAGTGCCTACCCCGCCTGTCACCAGGCCAGGTGAAGGAACAGGAGTTCCCCCGAGGCTGACCACCTCTTATGGAGATTGCCAAATTCTCAGAGTTGGATGAGAACCCTTGCCCACTCTTGTCCGGAACCCTCTGGGTGTGAGGATGGGCTGGTTTAGTTGGAAGAGGAACTTGAGAGTTTGAGTGAGGGGGTGGAGGGAGGCTGCCACTTGGTGAATAGCGGATTGGGTTGTGTGAGGGTTTTCTCATTTCAATCATTGGTGGTGGGGGTGGGTTCATTATAAGTTGCTGGAAGAGGGCAAAGGGAAACCAGTGCTGAATCCCCAGTCACTACGTCTGAACTGTAGTCCCAGACGGCTCCATGGGGAAGTCTAAAACTCAGAGAACTTTGGGAGGGTTTGGAGAGGGTTGACGAAGAGGGAGGAAACCTCCCAGGCCCCACTCCCAGTCCCCTTCTAGGCCTGTACCTGGATACAGCTGCTACACCTGGAAAGGCAAGCTGTCGGCCTGGCTCTCCCTCCTCGAAACCCTCACACTCACCTTCTACCACCCCTGCCCCGACCCTAAACCTCTTTTTTTCAATCTTTACCCTCCTGGACTTGTTAAAGAGTCCTCTCCAATATGTTGCCTGTCACACCCCACCCCTGACAGGTTTCTGAGCTTCTGCAGGTGGGTCAAGGAGACTGACTTTGGGTCAGTATAAGTAGTAGACACAGAGGGTTCAGATGCCTCCAACTGAATGTCAGATCTGTCTTTGGTTATTATGATGAGCATAGATGCATGCACACTATTAATATTGATTAATATATTAAATGCCTCTTTATGCAGCTATAAATATGTAGAGTTCTCATTCCAGGTTTGTGCAGCTAATTCAATCAACATGCACATCCAGAAAGTGAAATCTCCAAGATTCCCCCAAATGTGCCCACACTCATCTACATCATTTACAAAACAACAGCCACTCCCTTTGGGCTCCTATAGCTTAACAGCAAGGAAGTCGCCTATCACATGGGTAAAATACCACACACATACATAAAAACATTTTCACCTGCGTATTACTACAAGCACAGAAACAAAGTCCTTTCGAAGGGCTTCTGCACTTCGCAATGGCTTAATTGGGAGGGGGTGGGGGTACTAAAGCAGCTCTCATCTGTGATGAATCCTTGTATCTGGTCCTGTCTTCTTTTGTGCTTCACCCTCCCGCCTCCCGCCTTGCTAGCCCAGGGACTCACACCTCTGCCCTGCCCTCTACCTTGCTTTGCCCCAGTTTTATTTATTTTTATTTTTTTCTGACTACCTTTTGCCAGCATCCAAATGCTGTCTGCACATCATCCCTCCAGCCCATCTCCTTTCTAAATCTCGATTTGGTTTTTCTTTCGGAAACATGTTTCAGTACAAAGCGCTTCCCTTCTGACATCGCTGAAGAAAAATATGTGTTCATTGTGTGTGAGGCCTTATTGTGCCTGGATTACCATACTGACCGTTGGATAACCCATATTCCTCCCCTCCCCAGTAACAAGCTGCCGGCTGAGAGAGCTCAGCGGCTCCACAGATTCTCTGCTGCATTAAAATCTCACCCCTCTCTGGTTTTTCCAAGGGAGAAATATAAATGGGAGAACCAATTCAGGATTTGGAGAGCAAAGGGAAGGAAAATGAGGGTCATTCCTTCTCCTCGTCTTCGAAATGCAGGGTTTGTGTGTGTGTGAGTGTTGTTGTTGTTGTTTTAGGGATTCAAACTTGCAACATGTTTGTTTCCTTTCACTGGTATAAATTGACTTTTAGATGGTACGCAATCAGGCAATTCATTTCACTTTGATTTTTTTTTCCTCTGGGCAATGCGAAAACCCCAAACTAAATCGAGGCTCATATCCCTTTGTGTGTGTGTGTGTGTGTGTGTGTGTGTGTCCCTTTCTAATGCCAACAGCCAGGGCTAATGTATGCAAAAGAATATGCAAATACTTAATTGATTTTTTTCTTAAATCTCTTGTCAGTAAAAGTAATGAATTGGTCTAAAATGATTTTAATAACTCGGATGTGTCACCAGAAAATAATCAACCTTTTTTTCTCCTGGAATCACATATAGTCTCAAAAAAAAAAAAAAAAAAAAAAAAAAAAGCAATCCTGGAATGTTAATTTGCCCCCCTTTAAAATATTAAAGATGAATTTCTCTTGTTTGTTCGGAGACCATAGGCAAGGTTCTCTCATGGATTTCCCCCGCCTTGCCTTGCCTTCCTTGGAATTCAATTTTCCTCAAATCTCGTTTAAAGTGGCTTTTTAAAAAGTGGCCGCATTTTAATATTGGTTAGACAGAGTGACCTGCATTTCACCTCGGGTGTTTGACTTGTTCCAATAGGTCACTGCCATGGGGTTATTGATGGGGAAACTCCATTGAAATTTGTCTCTTCGCAAATGGCCTTTAGATCTTCCAGCGAGTTCAATAACTAGTTATAATGTGGAAGGGGAAAAATGAAGGCCCTGGGCTAACGAATTTGATGTTTCATTTTTATGCTGGAGAAATTGTTAGTTAGAGGTTGGGTTCCCCACCACCTTCCTCCCTCATCCCAGCCTCATTGGCCCTCCATCCCACTAGAGACTGCTGGATTATATCCCCTTTAAAACTTGGTTTGGGGTGTCCCTTGCTCTTTGATGCAAGCTTTAATTCTTATTACGAAAATTGTTGTTGTTGAGAATTCTGATGCGTGGAGGCAGGAACCTTGCTCTGTTGCAGGTTTGTAACCTGAACTTTCTTGCTGGGGAGGAGGACTTTTATTTTTAAAGGAACCAAAATGTGCCTTGAAAAGATCTAGAAATCAGGCTGGCCTTAGGTTAGTTTATGGAAGGCTCCCTGGCCTAGTACTCCCAGTATTAAAGAGATGACAGGAAGCTGGAAACACTTTTAAGAGTTGATGAGGGTATCTCAAAGTCCCCTAATCTGTTCTTGGCCTCTGAACTGCCAGAGACCCATGAGGTTAGGCACCCAAGACCAAAGAAGGCAGAGACTGGGAAAGGCTAGGAATAGAGAGAGAATTCTACAGTGGCAAGGGAATCCTGGGTGCTCTCCAGGGTCTGCATTCATGGGGACTTGGTCGGGTCACCTCTGTTGCTTCACAAGAAGGGTACTCCAGAAAAGCTCATTTCCCAAAGACAGTGCATTTCAGTAAACTGGAGAGAGCGGAGGAAAATGAAGCGGGGTGATGGAGGTTTAATAAGGTTTCCCTTTTTTTCTGGAGTTTCTAAGGGAGGGAGAGGAAAAGGCAGAAGAAGGGATTGGAGGTCTTTAGTTTATTTTTCCCAACCACAGTCAAGTTGGGGAACCCTTGACTCCTCCAGAGAAGCCTCTGTGAAAAAGCACTTTGGAGAGCGCGGTCTCTTGGGCTGACCCAGCCATACCAGATCTTTACCATGATTAACCTCAATAATAAGAACATCTTCCCCTCACAAAACATAGCTCCTCGGGTGCCTTTTTTCTCTTCCAGGAACTGTTCTTTCTCCTTTCCTGCCCAAAGAAGTCCAGTTTGTTCAGCCCCAAGCTCTCCCTTTATTAAGCCCATCCACCTCGGGCACCCCTCCAAGCCTCGGCCCATAGATCGGAGTCTTTCCAGGCATGCCTTGAATCCTGGATTAGGGGAATTAAGGCCGAGAAATATTTCTAAGGGCCTGAAACTGGGGTGCCACCTCCCTCCATCCCCTCAAACCCAGAGGCAGCATTTGATGCCATTTGGGTTCGCAAACTTGCCTTGGCAAAATCGTGGCACCACTGGGATCTGGGGAGCGGCCTTCGACTGCAACTGCGCGTCTCAACACCACAAAAATGCAAAAGTCGGAGAAGGGGCCAGCGGCGGCTTCAGGATCTGGCCTGGGAGAGGGCACCAGAGTCGGCTCTTCCCAGCCAAGCGGGAATCAATGGCGATCTGCTATAAACTTCCCCGCAGTCCCTCCGTGCGCTCTGGTCCTGGCGGGCGAGCCACGTCCCCAAGCTGCTCGCCAGCCTCGGCCCGCACCTTGGCCGCCTCCTCCGAACCCAGGACCCCCAGCCTCGGGCCTCGGCCCCTCCCTGTTTTAATTACGTGATTGATTTCCGCTTTGGCCGCCTCGGGACGCCTCTGCCTCCGACTGTTTAAATCTTTCGGCTCCCTTTTTGTATTTCCGAGTCCTCCAGGCGGGCTGTAATTTAGGGGCGGCCCGTTGAGTGGCCGGCGCGCACCGCGCGGCCTGGATCCGGGGCGGGCTGCGGCCTTGCCCTACACTCCAACGAAATGGTCCTGCCGCGGTGCTCGGGCGACCGGCTCTGCAGCGGCCCCGCGGCGCGGGACTCTCAGACTGTGGTCCTGCCCATTCGCTTTCTGAATTATTTTGTGCTCCATTTTTCTCTGATAGGAAAACGTTCTCTGTGTGGGTTATCCCTTCAGGCCTGGCCTCGGAGCTGGGCTCTCTGCGGTCCTGCGCTTTTCTCCTCCCCCGAATGAGGTGTGTGTTGGAAGGTCTGATTGAGCCCGGAGGAAGCGCGACGCCTGGCTCCTGGCTTGAGGGGAGCTCCAGCCCCTTCGCCCCAAATACCTGGGCCCTGCGCTGGCTGGCGAGAAGCACCACGCGAGACGCGAATTCGGCCACAACTTTACGCGAGTCAGCGCGAGAGGGACCCCAAGGCTGGCGGTCCCCGCTGCGGCCCCTACCCCGCAGCAGGCGGTAGGTTTGACTTTTGCTCCACAGCCCAGAGGCCCCCTCGCCCTGGCAGCCCCAGCGAGCACCCGGCAGCAGCTTGGGGTGGCTGCGCGCACCTCCGCCCCGGGAACACGCTGTTCAGCCCCCTCCACCCGACGGATTGAAGGTGAGGCGAAGGAAGGGAAAGAGGGGAGAAATTGATGAAAGAGTAGATTAGGGTGGGGAGAGAAAAGAGAAGACAAGAAATGAGGAAAATGAGCCCCTTCTCCCACCGTGGCTGACTTCTTTCCCTTTCTCGTTTTTCCTCCCCAAACTGCTGGTTTTCCGCTTAATATCTCATTTATTTGCAACAAATAAACATTGCTCTGCTTATTCTCTCACGTTGTGTTCATTCTTTGATATTTTCTAACGAGGCAGCAATGAGTTACTATTAGCAGTATTTTATGATCACACACACACACACACACACACACACATTTTTTCTCTCAAGGAGAGAAGGAGATTGGGAATGTCTTTCTGACTGGGAAGAAGTTCAGTGAAACTTGAGTTGGTCACAACCTTCACCCTGTACCCTAACCTACGATGCCCCTATACTGGCCCCCCCAGGCCCCTTCTCCCATAGCAATGTTTGAGGGCAAATAAGAGTCCGCCTGCTTGGCTATTAGGATTCTGGAGACGTTGGCATCTGTAGCAATCATTAGTCAAAGCCGCGGAAGCCAAAGGAGCCGAGGAGTTGGACAGAAAAAATCTTGGAAATGATATACAGGAGCCGCTGAGGCATCAATCCCAGCCGATAAGAGCGGGGCTGCTGGGAGCAAGGCGGCCACTTAATTGGGGCCTGGGCACCAAGAACGACTGGAACGGAGGAACCTATGGGTTGGGCAGTAACCCTGGCATCATTTGGGCACTCTGCAAAAACAGCTGGGGACTTGAACCCCTTTCCTCCCACATTTCAAAGACCCAGTTGGAGGTGTAGGGAAACCTATAAGCCCCTGCCAACCTCTCACCCTGGAGAGCCAAGAGGAGTCGGGCTTCTCTCTCCCTTCTTTTTAGTGGCTACCTTGAGAGGCAGGAAGCCTCGGCTTGGATCTCGGGTCACAGAGGCAGCCTGGGGGCAGGCTGTGACCCCTAGAGTAGGTTTTCAGGGGACAGATAACTCAGTGGGACTAGATTTGGAGATGGCCTTAGAAATCGAGACAGAATTACTTGCTTTAATAAGCCAAATATCCAAAATATATTTGTTCCCTACTCCCATTCACCTGATATCTTAGGGAGACAGAGAGATGCAGTAACTTTAAGTCCTCCTAGAAGGGAGATCTATGCCCCTATACACAGATACATGCATTATGGAGCCATCATCTCTAAACGTACGTTCAAACACGTAAGTTTTTCAGCAAAAATACAAAGACTAAAAATATCTAAATATGTAGCTATTTTATGGCTTAGGACCCTCGCAGAAATCTAGATAAAATTTTCAAAACAGACATTGAACACACACATAGTTCTTTCCAACTAAGAAGAAAAATTCCCAAATATTCAACTAGGTGTTTTGAGAGAGCTGTACCAATACATCCTAGCATATACATCTAACCACTATAGAAAGATTGGTAAAGTGCACACGGGAATTCGACCAAGGACTGTTATGTTCACTATAGATCTATAAATCTAAAGACCTATAAATCTGCATTTAAATGTGGAGCAGAAAGGAGTATAAAATATACATCCTGATATAGACATAGAACCATCGATAAATACATTTTCACATACATAACTATAGGAGTGCTCAGCTCTCTGTGAAGATTATTTGCATGGAGTCCTAGGAATGAAGAGGAATCTCTAGTGCTTGCGGGTTTGGGATATCCCAGCCCAGTCTTCTCTGAAAAAGAAATGATGGTGGACTGGAGCCTTCGCAAGTACTAAGAGGGCCCAGGAGCTCATAAAATCTATGACATATTTCTAGCATATAGGGGCATTCTACTGACAATGAGTATAAGCCCTGATGCCTGGGCCTGAAAGCCTCCTGGCCTGATCTGGCCTGAACTAAGTCTGAGTTAGAGAGCTCTTAACTTCTTTTTCCTTCAGCTCCAAGGCTCAAGGGAGGGACTTGCCAGGGAGGGGTGGGGGGTCCTTAGGAGGGGAAGACTCATTATCATTAGAAAATGAAGCTATTTAGGTAAAATATTTCATTTGGTAGACAGAAATGTGAGAAGGCTGGGGGTACACACACACACACACACACACCCCCTTGCACCCATCTTAACTACAAAAAACCCAGCCACAGACTGCAGAGTTTTGTCTATTCATGCTGTATTCGTTGGGATCCCCCATGCCTGCCTCCCATCTCTTCTTTTTCCTAGCTCCCTTGAACTCTTTCTCTTAAACATCTGAAGTTCTACCTTGTCAAAGGGGTTTTGGGGCTTGGGGAAAGACTGACAGGGAGAGATCAGCCCAAGAACAGAAGAGTCCTGATACAGCCAGGCCCTGAAGCTATTTGCCTTCAATGTTAGTTCCTTTGTGATTGAGGGGCTGGGGGACCAGGACTGCATGGGCAAAATGAAACGAAAAGTTGCATGATTTTTTTTAAGGGGAAAACTTTGAAGGGAAAAAATTCCGGTGTTCAGCCTTTTTAAAAAGAAATTTGGAGGCAGAGGATTTTAAAGACTCTAGATGCTCTTCCCCCCCCCCCCCCGCCTCTCCCCCCTCCCCCACCCTTAGTTACTGGGGAAGGGAGGCAAGGAAGGGCCTCAGGTGGGCTTGGGGAAGTGCAATCCAATCTACCAAGCCAGCTTTGGGGGAAAGTGATTTACAAAGCAAAACCTCAGATGTTACTTCCGGAGAAGTCACCAGATCAAAACACCCTCCTGTAGGCGTTTATGACCCTGTCTTTACTCCCAACAGGAAAAGCACCCTCAATAAAACCTCAGCCCATGCTCCCATCCTCCACCAGGGGATGGAGAGAGACACAACATAAAATGAAAGACCTGACCCTTATTACTCCCTACACACAAACACACACACACACACACACACACACACACACACACACACCCTGTGTTTTCCAGCCAGAAAGTTGACATTTTAAAGCAGTATTTACTAGACAAGAGATTTCTCTCTAATTTCTGAGCAAGGGAGCCCTAAGGAGTTTGAAGTTTGAGCTTGGAACAGCAGGAAAGGGGGATTAGATCAGATAAGATTCTGGCCTTTTAGACCTTCCATGTCTCTCCAACCCACTGACAACTCAATCTGGGCCAACACCACACTGAAGATCACAGAAAGCCTGGCTACCACCATCCCTGGAGGCAGCTCTAGGGTTTGGGTTTTCCAGAAAGGCAGAAGGAAGGAAACTCCACAGCTGCTCAGGGCTTAAGGGGTGGGGGTGGGGGTGGGGTGGGGAGGACAAATGGTTTTCAAGCTGGGCTGACTCGAGAACGGTGGGGTGGGAGGGAAGAGTGGGAAGTTGGTTCCATGCTGGTTACTATATCCAGCCCAGGCTTCTGACTTCTACCATACCATCCTTGGGCACATATATGTAATTCTGTGTGTTCAGAGGTATTCCGGTGTTCAGGGCCAGGGGCTGGGGGAAATGAGGATCTTTAGAGGGCAGAACCAAGCTTGAACCGCCTCTCTGAGACCTGTGGTGCAGCACTGAAATGATCCTAGGTGACCAGCCTACACATTCCACCTAGCCCGTATGGGGTTCACATCACTGTAGAACTTTCTCTGTACATGTGTGCAGGTGTAGAGAAGCAGTCTTCTCCCTGTACTGGCTTCCCAGCATGCCCAGAGACTCTTGTTATAGCTTCTCAAATGTGGTCCTTAGAGGCTGAACAAGGTCCCGCATAACTGAATTCAACTTTCTCAAGTCCCACGTGGCATACCCATACCCCTTCCTCTGGGGCTTCTCTGTTCCCACTTTCCCCATGAGTGAGCCTTAGGATTGGGAGAGAGATGATTACAAGGGTTGTGTAGGGCTCAAAAACAAAGAGATAACTATCACCCAAGTTCCTCAGCCCAGACCTTGTCTGGCAATTAATTCCCTGGGCTGCTGTGGCCCCATCAAAGCAACTGAGATATTATCAGAACAGACACACCACTATGGGTCACAAGGAGCCAATAAAAGTGGGGAGGGATGGGAAACGATGTGACTTTCTTGGTTCTCAGACTAGTCTTCTCCTTAAATTGAATCCCTCACCTCAAAACCCTAGCTTGACGTCCTGATTTCAGATTTTCTTTCTTCTTCACCTCAAAGGGCTAAAGGGGCCCGAGTCTCACTAAAGAAGAGGCTCAGAGTGTTGGTGTTTGTCTTCTCAGCAAAAAGGACCCAATTAAATCCAGAACAATGACGTTTCAGCATTCCACCACCTCAAAAACTCAGCCCAAAGCAGTTACAGACAGAGGGCAATAGTAAAAAAGAGAAAGTTTACTTGGATATTAGGAGGGGCTGAGGCACGCTAATAAAATCTCTTTTCCCAGTGCCTGGGTGGATAGAACCAATCTCCCCGCCTCTATTTCCTAACCCTTCGTGGGATCTGGCACCCCAGTGTGAGAAGCCCACATTGAGGGTGAAAGTTGGTCTCCAACAAGGCTGTCACACCATTCACTGGGGAAAAAATGAGCGTGTCCTTTAATTCTAACTCATAAAAGAGGCAAATGGAGCAGTGTGGTTGAAGGTAACTTGGGAAGGAGGGCTCAGTGGTTTCTGAGAAGAGTTGCTCTTTCTGGCTTCTTATTCTTCTCACCTGGCTTGTGGCATTGTCCCCAAACCAGCTCCACCCAGAAGACAAACAAGCGGGGGTGGGGAGGGGTGTTGACAAAGCCTAGCTCAGTCTGGGCTATGCTTCCCATTCTTGCACTTTTAATGCTCCCAGGGGAGGGCTGAGAGGTCCAGGTGACACAGTCCATCAGAACTCCTGCCCCTTAGCTCAAAGGGGGCAAGAGATCAGGAAAAGAAGGAGAGGAGAACTCAACCAGAAAATTCACCCTGAAACAAAACTCTAGAGAAGGAGCTGGGGGAGAATGCCTGGGTCTGGACCCAGCAGTGAACTGGCTCAGGGCCCAGCGCAAGCATTCAGGAAACACAAGCGTTTCTGTCACACATGTGCACACCCTGTGCCATCAGATGCTCTTACTCAGAGTTTCTTGCCTATTGCTTGTTCTTGGCCTAATCCACGTAAACTCACACACTGAAATCCACACCTTCAGTAGCTGTACTTTTTGATGGCTATTGGCCAGGACACAGGCTCATCACTTAGTCTATTACTAATATTACTATTATCACGTCCTGTTAAAAGAATGGAAGGGGAAGGGGTTTAAACAAATTCATCAACTATTTAACACGGAGAGTGAGGAAAGTCGTGATTCTCTGTGCTCATTCCTTTCCAGAACCCTTAACTAGCTCAAACTTATTTGACAAACGAAAGGTACCAAACACAACTTTCAAAAAAATCTCCACTTTTGCTCCCTTCCCTAACCATGCCTGAGGTAGTCTGATAAAGCTAATGGCTGTTGGAGCATTTCCAGAAAGATAAATCAAAAGGGCTCTCCTCTAATCACCCCACTTGCCCTGACGAAAATCAGAACAGAATGAAAACTTGTAAAAAATAAGTATATGGGGAATTATCACAGCCAGAATTTGAATTCAGGGCTGAAATTTCAGATCCGCATTTGCTCTATAGCCTAATTTAGAGTCTACATCTACAACACCCCAAAAATTGGGTAGAATCACGCTGGCGAACGTGGAAATAATTCAGAGGATACCCCCACAGCCTCACATCCTTGTGCAACTGACTCTCAGATACAACTTTGTTAGAAAACTGTGATTGACTCCCAGACACAACTTTGTTAGAAACTGAGGAGACAAGCCAAAGACTCCTCAGAGCTGGCTCAGGGACTGAGAGAGGAAGCTAGAACATGCTCAGTATCACTCCAGCCTTCCAAGTCTGAGATAGGGTAGACCCAGCAGCTAAGGCGGCGCTGGGAAGGGAGGGAGGGAGGAAGAGGGCCATATGGGAAGAGTGAGACAGAGACAGAAGTACTTTTTGCTGATTGGTTGGTGGGGACCATGTGACTCTGCTTAGTGCATTTCGGATTGGTGGCTTGACCTCTCCTAGGGTTAAAGACCTAGGAACAAGATTACAGGCTTTCCGCGTTGGCTGGAAAGCTTGGCACCTGATCGCCTGCCCATCCTCCGCTCCAGGGAGACTCCAAATTCGGGTTGGGGAAGGGCGGGGAGTGGGGGGAACCAAGAATTTCAAACCCCTTTTGTGGCTACCCTGTTTCCAGGTGGAACTAGAAACTGTTTTTACACAATAGGAAAAAAGCTAAGGCAAACTATTTGAGGGGAAGGAGGATCAATTATCACAGGAAGAGAGTGATATTTAAATGGAACTTCTGAGCCTAAAGAACAGAAGAGGGGTGAAGAAGTCGTCAAAGGGCTCGAGAGACGCTGTGTAAAGTCTGTAAACACCCTCGAGTGCCGGTCTACACAGAGAAGAGGGGAATGGGACTGAGATTTGGCCAGGAGGCAGGGCAGGCGGTAGAATCTTGCCTGGGTGTGGGTTTTCGGCTCTGGCTAAATTCCCGGTTAAAGACCACTGCATTCCCTCCCTAGTGCCCTGGGGAGGCTGGAAGGAGGGGAAGAGTCAAGTTATAGACCAAGAGAAACTCCCATCTCCCTGCTGCTTGGATCGGAAAGTTTCCAGAAACCTTCAAAATCACAGACTCGAGGGAAGGAAAGAGCCTAGAAGGACGGGTAATGAGGAAGGGAGAAACTGGTAATTAGTTTTTCCAATGCGCTGCTGGAGAGAATTCCCTGGGATCCTAGGAAAATAAAGGTGTCAGGGAGGAGGGTGGGGGAGGCTGAATCTCAGCCCGAGATGGAGGCCCTGAGGGATGGCCTCAAGGGAATCCTCCGCGCGTCGGGTGCCCAAGCTCCTCATGCAAGTGAAAGACCGTTAGACGGAAGGATGAGGCTCAGCTAAAACTCCCCATTTTGGGGGGCCTCTGTGCCCCCTTTGTTCTCCCAGAGGCTGCCTGGGTTATCCTTCCCTGTCTGCTTCTCGCTTCTTCCTCAGTCCCTTGGGCAGCAGAAATGAGGCTAACAGCATTCCCTCTCCATCCCACAACAGCACCTCTCCACAAAGCAGGTGCCCAGACACCCCTGCTCCCCAGGCATACCCCTCTTCTGGAAGGTGCAGACCTGGCTCACTCCCTCTGCTCCCCACCCCTTTCTACCAGCCTGGAGGGTTTGCCCTTAGGGGTCCACTGGCCTTCAGCCCTGCTTCCAAACCCCTGGCTATTCCTGGCTGGCCGGTAGAGGAGCCTGAATTCACATGTTGTCACTTTCCTGGCTTAGCTCCCAGTGACGCACAGGGAGGGGCAGCACTCGCAGGTGTGGAAGACACGTGCCTCCCATGCCCAACGCTTCTGCTGCTCCTTCCTAGAAACGTGAAGGGTGCCCTAGCCTGATGATTGACCCCAGGGTGCAGTGCTCAGATTGGGCCCTGCTTGCTCCATGGGGGGAGGGGGCGACTCTCTCCTTAAGGTTGGGGGACTTACTTTCCCAGCCTAGCAAAGACATTGCCTCTGCTCCCTCACCCATTCAACACACAATTACACTCTACTCACAGCAGGGACCTCTAGGCCTCTTAGGGCCTAGTTTTATCTGAGGCAAGGGCTGGGAGTGCCAGGAAGACCGAAGCAGCTAGAGGGAGAGGAGGAAGCGTGCAACCACACTGGCTCCAGACGGTCTAAGACGCCAGACTACGGAGGCTGAGACAGCTGCACATCCAAGCCTGGTGTTGAGGGAGGGAGCGGGCACTCTGGGACCTCTGGGTTCAAACAGCCACCTTTGAGATGCTTCTACCAGTTCACAAGGTGGTAGCCTGTGGACTCAGAAGCCACAAAACCCTTCATCCTTCCCTTTCTCCCCAGCTTCCCACCCTGCCTGGACTCTGGGCCACTGGCCAAGGGCTGAAGTCACCCCTCCCTGGAACAGGGGGCCCTAGAGGCATTTTGCGCTTGGTTCTAGAGTTTACATACCCGCACAGACACCAAGCACCCTTGTCCTGCCGCTTGCTTGCTTCTCAACTGAAAGGGGTCAGGAAGATCTGGGAAAACTGAACAGCCAAGGCCTCTCTACCCCAGCTGACTTGCAGTCAGAGAGAATAAGGAGTGGGGAGGGGAGGGCTGCTCTGGGCAGACAACCTCCCCCATCTTCCTACTTCCCAGCGGCTTCTTCTCTTCTCCCACCCCAGCCTGGGAAGGCCTCTTCCCCGCTCCCCTTAATGAGTGGGAGCTGCCTTCTATCAAGTGAGAGGGGGTGGTTAGGTAAATGGGAGAAAGGGTCTGAGAGAGAGAAAGAGAGAATTAACTCACAGCGTTAGCCTGGGATTCAATTGCGAAGATGTAACCTCTCTCACCATCGTTCCCAGCGCCGTAATCCCCTCTAACTGCCAGGCCCTCTGTCCTAGCATTAAACCTCACCAGCAGCTGCGTGGCTGGACAGTTAAGATTATATATGATGTAAATATATTGTGGGTTTGTCAGCTCTCCCTACACCATAAAACTTGGTTTAATGACATCACGTGGTCCCCCAAGAGCCACTCACGGGCTTGCCTTCGGGCCATTCACATAAATAACCTCCAAAAGTTTCAAACTCCTAAATTCACATAGAAGCCATGCCTATTTCTCTAATGCTCAGTTACACTAAAAAGCCCTCGTGCTGTTCCTTTGCCCCACCCCCACCCCCCCATTGCAGGGTGGAGAGGGGGGAGAGGGTGGATCCTTATTTATTTATTTACTTACTTATTTCCATAAGGACCTGTCGCCTTCGAGGTCGTGTTGATATTTTTGTCCTCTTATTTTTTTCCTCCTCTCTCCTCTAATTGCTCAGAGTGGGCCGTGTCCCCCTCTTCCCACTCCCCCGGGAAGGTAAGTCACGCTTCTTCCCCTTCTTTCTCGCTGCCAGAGGGGGTGGGTTCCAGGGCAAAGTGGAGAGGCAGGCTCCATGGTCTCCGTTTGGAACCCAGAAGCCCCCCTCCATGAACTCTCCCAGAGCAACGCCAGCCCCTGGTACCTGGAGATGGTTCTAGGAGGCTGGCTGGTGGGGAAACGACCCCAGGCCACATAGCAGAAGCCCCCGTTCAGGGAGAAAGCAGGGATCTGGGCCTGACGCACTCCCAGAGCAGGGGAGCAGGTCCGAGGCCTCTGGCTTGGTTGCTGCCCGCTGTCGCCGCGGAAGCCGAGGCTGGGGCCTGGAGAGACCTGCAGATTGTGACAGGAACGGGGAGAGCAAGCAGGCACGCTGTGTCTACACAAGCCTGGCCAAAATGAGTCAGACCTCCAGCGCCTCCAGGGAAGGAGAGGCCCAAACCCTGCGGAGCGGAGGCAGTGCACGGTGGGGCTGGTGTGCCCTGCCTGGCAGCTCTAACCCACGTAGCCCCTATCCGTGGCAAAGCCCTGGATTTTCCTCCTACAGTGGTGCACCAGTCCCCTGGAGAGGAAGCAGAGGGCCTGGGCAGCTGGGAGGCTGGAGCGGGTGAGTGTGGGCGCCACAGCCTCTTTCTTAGTTAACTGTTACCCACCAGAGACGCCAGTGCTTCTCCACGCTTCACTGCTCGCCCAATAGTTTTACTCAGCATGGAGAAAAAATTAAAATAACTCCCTGAAGAAAATGACACATTTTATTTCAGAGGGAGAGAAGGGAAGAGAACGAGTGCTGGTCTGGGCTGACTGCGGTGTGCAAGTTGAGGAGACAGCAGGCGCCCTAACCCGGCGGAGGGCAGTGCGAAGGGGAAGGGTGGTAGTCGTGGGCACTGCTCAATAAACATTTGCTGAGACCTCCTACATGCCAGGCATGGGGTGAGGAAAGGCTCGTGAGTCTTTTAAAAAATGATGGACAGACGGGTAGCTTAGGCAGTGGGATGCAGTGAAGTTAGTCCTTATAATAAATTCAAGGAGCATCAGCATTAATAATCATAAATATTCCCCTGCCCCTCCCCAGAGCCTCTCTGCTCCGCTTTCTTCTTGGCTGCTGGTGCAATCCTTTAGCCCAGCTCTAGACCCTCACCCCACCAGTGTGGGGGGCCTAGGCTTGGCTCCAGGAAATCACCCCATTGTGGGAGGTGGGAGAGGAAATGCAGTAAAGTTTTATGGACCCTTCCCACATTTGTTTCTACTGCAAAGTGCTTCCTCCCCCAGCCCATCCCAGGAGCCTGGAGAAGTACCTGAGCCTCCAACGCTACCTGAATAATCTGCCTCCCCCCACCCCCACCTTTAACCCATCCTCCCCTCCACACAAAATCCCAAAGACTGAGATAAATGATGGCAAACAGACGTGACTCCAGCACTGGTCTATGCAGCTCCTTTCTCAGTTAATTGTGCTGCATAGCCCTAGGCCCTAGAAGGTGGAGGAAACAGTCTGAACATTTCCTGCCAGCCTGATACCCGCTGCAGATAGTCCTCCCTGCTCCCTCGTCCCCAGATTCTTAGATACTGAGGCACAGCCCCTCCAACTTTTCCAACATCTCCTTACCAAGCAATGCCAACTCTCTCCAGAGGCCCTTCTGTGACCAACTGGGTCCCTCTCCCTCTATGTCCAGCAAGGCCTCTCAGGGACCACTTACACCCAGAAAAGATCTTCAGAGGCCCAGAAGGGCCTGAGGCTGAGCATGGTGGCGGAGCCACCGGTCCCTGCAGAGGAGCTTTGGCATACAGTGGGGGCTGCTGCCAGTCCAGAGGCCTCACGGAGTGCAGAGGCCTGAAGCCTTGGACAGCCATAGCCCCGGAAAAGCCAGTACCTGAGGCCCAGATGCCCTCCTCTTCCCCCAGAGGCTCTTGTTGGAGCCAAGGGTCAGGAAAAGAACTCAATTTCACCTCTCTCTACTCACTGCCCCTAGAAGCTAAAATATTTTTTAAAGGGGAGGCTTAAAGATTGTAGGTCTCCTTCTACACCTCACAGCCCATTTAGACAATTTTACCCAATACATGCCCCAAACAGACAGGAGCCACTGCATCTTTAGTCCTGTTCTCTCTTCGTCTTTATTTGATATGACAAAATATAGTTTCAGGAAGGACCCAGAGTCAATAAATAGTTGGACAAGAGCAATGGGTCAGGAGGGCACAGAAAGTCGTGGCAGGGACTATGGGACAGCAAAGGGCCTCTAGGACCACTTGCGGGGGTCCAGTGTCAGGAAACCCCAAGAGTTGAGCTAGCTAGCAGGCTGGGGCTGCCGGCCTGAGAGGGCATGCAGCAGGCGCAGGCTGGGGAGGTTCCCGGGTTTTGGGAGGGTGCGGTTGTGGGGATAAGGTTTAGAATGCATAGAGCAACCGAGGGGGCTCTAGGCCGACGTTCAGTTCTTCTTTCATATACAAATCATTAATAAGTGAAAATCTAGTTTAGCTGCTACAAGTAAGCACCCCGAGTCTGGGGCCAGACTCTCCTCAGCCTGCGGTTGCCTAACCCGCCCAGCCCGGAACAAAGGAGAGGGCGAAGCTGGAGGGTCGGGCGAGGGTCCTGTGGCGCCGGCCGGGCCCACCTTAACTCCGGAGGGCCGCGCTGGGGCTGGGGGCCCGGACAGATGGCCCAGGCCAAGGTTCGTTCCGCGCCAGCCTGTACGCCGCAGCCCTCCGGGGAAGCCCTGCGGAGCTTGTCCTGGGCCCCGGGTACCAAGCTGAGCCGAGATGAGGGGAGACGGGGCAGCGCGGGCAGCCCCGAGGGAACCCTGGGTCGGTGGGGATGCGGAATGCGAAGGAAAAGCGCTTTTGTCTGTGAGGCCCGGGAGCCCAGTGCTCCAACGCCTGCCCCCACCCCGAAATACAGAGATTGGAAAGGCGAAAAGGAAAGGCGCAGGGACCCGAGCCGGCTAGGGGCGCTCTCTGCGGGCCTCCCCCGCTGCCTCTAAAGAGCCTCTTTGCTTTTCATTTTGGAATCTTTCTTCCACTTCATCCTGCGGTTCTGGAACCAGATCTTGATCTGTCTCTCATTGAGACACAAGTTGTTGGCGATCTCTATGCGCCTGCGGCGAGTGAGGTAGCGGTTAAAGTGGAATTCTTTCTCGAGTTCCAGAGTCTGGTAGCGCGTGTAACTGGTTCGGGACCGCTTGCCGTCCGTCTCTGGAACATAAACCCCACCCCAAGCCAGGAAGGGGTGAATAGCGCGCAGCGTTTTCCCCGTTCCCACTCCAGCCCCAGGCCCCCACCCGCGGCCGGAGGAAGAGGAGGCGAAAGCCGCAATTCAGGCCCCGCGGGCCGCAGGCGGGCCGGCCCAGCCCAGCCCAACCCCGGGAGAGGCGCCTCCGCCCAGGCAGGAAACTTTCCACCGCAGCCTTCACTCTGCAGCCGGAGGGGCTGAGAGGGGGTTGGGGGGAAGAGGGAGACCCAGGCTCGGACCGAACAATAAGCACCCTCGAGATCCGAGCACCGGGGACCCCCCTCCCGCCCCTCCCGAGTCGCTGGAATCCTCCGGAGCCGCGAGCACCGGCAGAGCCGGCTCCGCAGGGGAGGGAGGGAGGGAGCCGCGGGGGGATCCCCGCTCTGGAGCCCCGCGCTCCTCACCCTTCAGATCCCTCTATTTTTTTAACTCCCTCCCTCTCCCCCAAAAATTGAATATTGCCTTTTATACACGTTTTGTTCCTATGATCCAATTATGTCGTCGTAAATTTGGGCGCACACAGCCTCTAAGCCTTTTAGTGGACAGTTTTACGAGCCATTGATGCCTGGATCGTAAAATTTATGGCCGCAGGTTTTTTTTCTTTATTTGCCCCGCATGGCCTATAAAACCCAGGCGGACCCGAGCGCGCAAAATGAAGTCCTAAAGTTTACCGTGGCTCATGTGCAGTTTGGTCATCCACGGGTAAATCTGTGGCGGGGCCGGTGGCTGGCTCAGTCCGGCGGGCTGCCCTGTCTGCGCCTGCTCCTCTTTGATCTCCCCACTGCTCTTAGCTCGCTCCTCCAGCGCCGGGCGAGCCGCCTTCTGACTGTACATCCCGGGGTTCAGAGGAGCCGCTTCGTCTCTGCCCAGAGCGTGTCCCGGAGCGGCCGTGGCGCTGCAGGCGGGGCGGTCGGGGTGAGCCCGGGGGTTGGCAGCCATGTCTACCCCGTGGAGAGAGTTGGAAGGCGCAGGCGGTGGGAAAGTGATGCTTAAGTCCAATCCGCCGTAGCAGTACCTGGATGCCTGCACCTCTGAGGCCGATCCATAGTTCCCACAAGTTTGCATGTTATAGGCAGGGATATTGGGGCTCTGCTTATAGAATGAATTGGCTACGTAGGAGCTCATGGCGGGGAGGGCCCAAAAAAATTTCTGCACCCTTTTTGATTAAGGGTGATTTGTGACTCTTTGAAGTTGAGGGGTTTTTTGTTCTCCAAAGTGCACAATTTATAGGTGGAGATATCTCTTTCTTTATCCTATGCGCTCTTCCCAAATAAGGGAGCCTTAAATAGAGTCACGTGACTCAAGCGGCCACTCATAAATTTGGCTTGATGACCTCCGGGAGGTTAGTGATGGAAGCCGGCGAAACGCATCTCGATATGTTGGCAAAGCCCAACCAAGGGGGAGAGGGAGTGAGAGGGAGAGAGGGAAGGGGGAGGAAAAAAAATGGTTCTTGGAATTGGGGGTAGCTGGGACAACAAGCCCACAGCGACACCTGGTGCCTAGATGGGGGAATTGCATCCTGGAGCGCCAGCTCGCTTTCCGGTGGCTGGATTTTCTACCCTGTGAGTGAGTGTAAGGAGAAGCTGGCTGTTGGGGCAACCCCTGAGCTAGCTGTTAAAATTCTGTTTAAAATTGGGAAAGATGGGGCGCCACTTATTGTGCACCGAGTGCTTTTTGTCATGGATAGCCCCGTCCTCCCAACCTCCATGATCTTCCAATCTTCAAAAATGGCTGAGGAAAAGGGATTTAGTTAGGTAGGGCGGCCCATGCCCAGACTGGAGAACCAATGGGGTTTAACTTAGGTGCCCTAAACCAAAGGTGTAAGTCCCCTGCCTCGCAGGCCCTAAGGCCCCACCACGGCTGAAGAGGTGCCCATCATGAGAAAGTGGAATTCGCCTCTAGAGAGGTAGACAAGACGCCCAGGAGCAGGGATCCTGAGTGGTTAGAACAAGATAGAGGGGTCATGAGGCTGAGGGTGCTGCGGGCCGTCAGGGATGGATCTGGAGGTGAGGAGCCAGGTGGAATTGGCTAGACCTCACCATGCTAGGGTCCCCAGAGTGGGAACAAGGCAATTTTCAAGTGTGTGTGTGTACACGGACAGAGCCAGACGATGGTCTAGAGGACTGCTCTGTCTCCCTGTGTGGGATCCTTATGTGGTACCTATGCCAGAGGTTTTAGACAGAAAATAGATGTCTAAATTGAGGGCATGGAGAAACAAGATTCAAGCCTCCACAAATATTACGTGAGCACGGCAGAGGAAAAGGGCAGAGGAAAAGGCCTGTTTTGTGCCCTTTGGGGAAAAGGTATCTGGGCCAGCCTTTCCAGGGACCTGAATCCTTAAGTTCCAGGAGAGCAATCTCTGAGCTACCAGGAGGAATGAGGCGGACCTGGGGGTGGGCAGGGCAGGCGCCTGGGCAGCCTTCGCAGGGTGTCTGCAGCCATTCGGCCCCTTCCTTTCCCCCTGTAGCCCCAAGTCTCAGGCTTTCTTGCCTGCTTCTTCCCAGGAAATCCCCGCCCCTGCCAGGAGAAGGCCCCCTCCTCACTGGTGGAGGCACTAGAGGCGAGGGGTGGGGGGCGCTGGAGGGAATTGAAAGGCCTGGAAAGCTCTGGCGGACTTTTTTCCCTCCGGAGACCCCCCTCAACACCTCTCCCCGTAGGCCCACTCAGGTTTCTCTGGCCAGGCTTGGGGAGAGAAGGCCAGGGCTGACAATAGTTAGGGTCCGGCTGCGCTCCTCACCCGCCTCTTTGCCCGATAGAGGAGAGAAGAGTCAGGAACCAGCTCGGCTGGAGCTGTAACGAAGGCGGAATTTTGTCCCGGCCACGTCAGGAGTCCCAGATCAGGCTGGAGCTCAGTTTCCAGGCTTTCTCTTTCGAGATGTCCTTGAATCGCTCAATCCCTGCCGACAGGGCTCCAGTCCCTCGGTCTTCTCTTTCCCTCCGCTCTCCGCCTCCGCCACGTTTCGCAACAGCCAGCCTGGCGCGGGCCTGGGGCTTGCTCTCACGGCGCCCCCCGCCTCCAGCTCCCCGGGGTGGGCGGAGGCGACCCTGGTGCCTGGATAGTGATTCTTTACTGGTCTTTCGGGGCGCCTCGGGGTTCGGACGCTGAGAGCCCCGGCTGCCGCAGGCAGGAAGAAAGGCCTGTGTGGGGCTCGTGCCCAAGCCGATTCCGTTTCCTCCCGCAACAAAATCCTACGCGGTCTTTTTTCGCAGGGTGTGTGTGTTGCTCCGCGCAGGGAGCGCAGAGAGGCCTCCCAGCCCGTCAGCGCGATCGCGAGAACGAACAGGAGGCCGGGGCCAGGCGCCTGGCTCCGGGGATGGCGAGTGCTAAGGGCTGGGGGCTTGCAGGCGGCGAGGAGGCGCGGGAGCGCTTGGAGTCCGCTCCAGCTCTCACCCCGAGGCCGGCGGGCGAGCGAATGAACAGAATTCCCGGTATAAACTTTTAAAAATAATATCAGTTTTATTAAATATTCGAGAACGGATCCAGAGGTTGGATTTATACAGGAGGGTAACACGAGGGGATTTATTTATTTATTTATTTTCTCCTACTGGCTAAACAAACGTCATTCACTTTTTTTCTCTCTTTTTGTAATTTTCCCTCTTTTTTTTTTTTTTTTTTTTTTTTTTCCTTTTTGAAATGGGATAGGAACACTGACGGTGCTAAACATAAATATAAATACAGAGACCACAAATACAGCTAAAAGTATTCACACAGAAACGGTCACAGTTTGTAAAATGCCATAATGACCCCCAGGATTCTTTAAATACAATTTGCCTGGGCTGGGCATTTGCTGGGGCAGAGGGGCTGGGCAGGGACTTCGGGGAGGCCCTGGGGGTCGGTGTGGGGCCAAGGCGTGCCCTCCTTGGGCCTCCGGCCCTCCCCGGCTGCCAGGCTGGGCCCTGAGGCCCCGGAGCAGAGGCCCCAGGCTCGGGAGCCGGCCCTCTGCACGGGGGTCGGGGGTGGGGGCGTCGAGGGAGTCGGGGGGAGCCAAGTCCTCACTTGGAGGGCAATCTGTAGAGTCTGAGTTCAGGGACCGAGTCCCCAAGGCCTGGGCGGGGAAAGGGGCCTGCAGACAAGCCGAGAACGAGCTAGCAAGGGATCGAGGAGGAGGAGGCGCGTGGTGAAAGAGAGTTGTGCGGTGAGGGAGGGGGTCCAGAGCTGACTTTCAGGTCCACGTTTGACTCCCTAATTTTGTTTTAGGGACTCAAAACACATCAATTGTGCCAGTGATAAATACAGAGTGTGTGATTAGGGGAGAGTTGGGGTGGGGAGCGAGGGAGAAAGGGGGAGTGGTGGCAGGAACAGTCCTGGTCACTCTTTCTGCTTCTCCTCTTCTGTTTCTTCCCGCTTTTCCTCTTTTCCGCCCAGGCTGTCGGCAGTGGCCCCTCCGCCGCCCCCCGAGAGAGTGGACGTGAGATTAGATTCTTTTTTCCACTTCATTCGGCGGTTCTGGAACCAGATTTTGATCTGTCGTTCGGTCAGGCAGAGCGCGTTGGCGATCTCGATGCGCCGGCGCCGCGTTAGGTAGCGATTGAAGTGAAATTCCTTCTCCAGTTCCAGGGTCTGGTACCGCGAGTAGATCTGGCGGCCGCGCCTCCGGTCCGCTCCGTAGCCGACCCCTAAAGATCCGGGCACAAAACACACTAAAAACAATCAGCAAGGCGTCCTCCGCAGACCATTTCCCCTAGCAAAGTCCTCACCCTCTCAACCTGGCCAGCAGCCCACGGCCCCTAGGGCTCTAGCCTTCTCCCGTTTGCCTTGCCCCACCCCCACTGGGGGGTACCACCAGGACCCCAACTTCATTCAGACCTCCCATAAGGTGGGAAGTGTGTGTCCCAAAGAAAGGTGTGTGGGGTGGGTTGGGGGGCGGGGCAAAAGGCAAGCAGAAAGCTGCAAGTCTAAAAGCTGATTTTTGAAAAATCCCAAATAATGGGGATGAGGGCCCCCTTTCTCAAGGACTGGGCTCTCCCATTTCCCCAAGCATCCTAGCGCCTTGGAAACTTCTCCCCACTTTTCTGCCTCTCCTCTCCCCCTCCCTTCTCCTCAGCCTGACTCCACTTTGGGGGGCTCCCCCATCTTCTGCTCCCTCCCTTATCCCCTGCCCTGTTCCTGCCCCCTCAGCTCGCCTGGGAGCCCTCCAATCCGTCAGGGGCCATGGGGGCCAGGCCCCTGCCAGCGAGCGGGAGGCTAGCTGAGAGGGCAGAAGAGGGGGCCCTGTCTCGGCGAGGAGACGAGCGTGATTGTTTTTATGGGGCCATAAAAAACTCTCTCCGCCCGTTCTTCTAGGGAAGCCGGTCATAAAGCCAGTTCAGTTTATTTAATTTATATCTCGGAGCTGTAAAACTCACCACTGTGCGAATTCATTCGCTGCATCCAGGGGTAAATCTGGATACTGGCTTTCTGGTCCTGGGGCGCAGTCCTGCCCTGCTCAGAACTAAAATCCTGAGCGATTGAGGTCTGTGTGTTATGTCCTAAGGTGTTTTGTCTGCAGTTTGAGAGCATGTCTTTCTCCTGGTAAAAGGAATTAGATCCATAGTCATACGGCCCCCGGCTGGAACTGAACACGACATTCTCCTGTGGCGAATAAAAGGGAGTCGAGTAGATCCGGTTCTGGGCAACGGCCGCTCCATAGGTCGAGAAATGCCTCACTGGATCATAGGCGGTGGAATTGAGGGCGACGTTGGGGAGGACGTCCTGGCCCCCGGCGAGGTGGCAGGATAAGGAAGGGTTAGTGAAGTAGGAATTCATCCCTTTGCCTTTACCTGGTCGGGCTATGATTTCTTTAATATTTATTTCTGTCTCCAGTTTGTACTCGGAACTAGATGGTTATAGGGACGGCTCCAATCCAGGACAGACAAAATGACAAAGTCAGCTGACCCCCTCCCAGCCAATCGCAAGCCAGATGTCAAGAAGGGGGAAAAAAATCGCTTCTGCTTCTGTTGATTCCCTAGTTGAGACTAAGTGTGTGCTTTGAAAGTAAGACTTGGATTTCTTTTAAATATATATATGTAGGGGAACTGGTGTGGTGGTGAAGGAGGGGTGCATGTCCCTGAGCAGGGCCTTGGGACTCAGGGAAGGAGAGCTGTGCTCCCGGGAAAGCTCTCAGCCCCAGCTAACTTTGCTGTGTTGTGGCCAGAGCCAGGGCTAGAGAAATCCCTGTATTTTCAATCTGGTTTCATCTTTTATATCTGCCCCCTTCTAAAATTACATCCTGATTTCTCCATGGGAGGAACTCCCTCCCAGCTCAGTAGGAGGTCCCCAGAAATCCTGCAGGAAATCCTGGTTTGATGCTTCTTGGAGTGAGTCCCATCACTAAACTAGTATTTTTTTTCTCCAATAATTAAAAAAAAAATCAAAAGTAGAAAGAAATGTCCTTAAACCTGTTCCCCTGAGTAAGAAGAGTGTGGCTGAGAGTCTTGAATGTAGGAGGGATGTGGGA